TGATATGTAGAAGACTGCAGATAGATCCATGTTTATCACCTTCTTCTTATGAACAATTGAGTTTAAGTAGGCCCATCTGTGAGACAATGAGAATGGAAATATTCACTGAGGTCTGGTAGGTTCACTGTTGGTTACAAATAAAGGGAATGATTTTGGTCCCCACCATTCATCAATAGTATACACATTGCCAGATAGGTTGGGGATACATGAGCCTGTTCCTACACCATGACTTATTTCACATAGCCTGTCTTGTTCAGAGACAGTGCAGGTAACCACAGGCATTCTGAATTTGCAATTGAGGTGAAGGTACCAAATCCTCAAATACCATTTCACAGCCATTCTCCCTTTCATATGACTCTTATAATCTATATGCTCTCTTCTTAGCAATGACACCAGAATCTAAGATTTTGTATGAATGTACTGATCTAAATTGAATTCTTAGCAGAACAATCTCAAGTGATAGTAAGTCACTTAAGGAAATGTTCAACATCCTTAGTCATCAGGAAAATGCAAATCAAAACCAGTATGAGTGTCCATCTTACACCTATCAGAATTGCTAAGATCAAATATACCAATCAGAGCTTATTCTGTGGAAGATGTGGAGAAAGGGGAACATTCCACCATTGCAGGTGAGAATGAAAATTTGTACAGCTGTTTTGGAAATAAGTATGGCAGTTTCTCAAAAAAATAGTTATCTACCTACCTCATACAGTACAGCTATTGGGCATATATGCAAAGGAGGCACATTCACACTACTCAGAAATTTGTCCAATTATGTTCATAGCAACATGATTCTTAATGGCCAGGTCTTGGAAACAACCTAGATGCCCCTCAAGTGAAGAATAGATAAAGACAATGTTGTATATTTACACAACGGATTACTACTTAGCGATAAGAAACAGTGACATCCTAAAATTTGCAGTCAAATAGACAGAATTAGAAAAATGCATCCTGAGTGGGGTAACTCAGAATGAGAAAGAAAAATATAGTATGTACTCACTCGTAACTGATACCCAGACAAAGCAAGAGATATACATCCTACAATCCACAACACCAGAAAACCTATAACTATCTTCCAGATATAATTGTAAGCATATGCACAAATCCACAGCTAACCATTTTTTCAAGCTCCTTGAGGAAGTCAAGACCATAATGGGGAAATCAACTGACCCAAGATATTGAGAGATCACTGATACTAGTCTGACAAAGGGAAACCTACATAAGACTGAACTAGATTTATTTAATATACGTGGCTCTGGTGTGGCTGGGACATTCTATGAGGCTATTGACAGTGGACCCAAGACCTACCTCTAATGTACAAACTCTCTTAGTATATGGAGAAATCCCTTGCTCAGCCTACACACAGGGTTGTGGGGGGTGGAGATGTGTGTTGGTTGTGCCTCAAGGTGAATATAGGACAGACTCAGTAGACATCTTAGTTAATTAAAAATAGTGTTTTTAATTATAACTTTACAATATAAAGACAGAGAAAATTTAGCATTCACAGTGCCTAATTATACTAATTCTCATCCTAATACATATCTATGGAAGGTTCTCCCATAGGGAATGTCAAATTGCCTTACCCAGTGCCGATATTATTTATAACAGCAGCTTGAAATGATAAGTAAGCAATTTCCTCAATTTATTTATTTATTTATTTTATTGGTTTTATGAAACGGGGTTTCTCTGTATTGTTTTGGAGGCTGTCAGTCCAGCCTGGCCTCGAACTCACAGAGATCTGCCTGCCTCTGCCTCCCGAGTGCTGGCATTAAAGGCGTGCACCACCACCGCCTGGCAAATTTCCTCAATTTATAATTTGCCATTACATGTAGGATATTTTACTAGCTGATTAAAGTGTTGATAATTTAGATAGAAGGTTTGAAGTAGTAAAGAAAAGTTTCCCTTTTGGGGGATTACAAATTCTTCCTGAAAAATACAAAGATGATATTCTATAATTATTTAAGGTATAAATGAGGTCTATAAAAATTTAGACACCAAAAGGTATGAATTAGGAGAGATCAATTGAAAAGTTTTAATGACTTTCAAAGACTGCTAGGAGACATTTCCTATCTATGGCCCACTGTTGGGGTAAATCCTGAGGAACTGGGTGAGTTTTTCAAAACCATAGACTGTGACAAGGACTTAAATAGTCCAAGAGAATTATCAGCTGAAGGTGAGAGAATGGTTTTGGTGGAAAAGAAATTACAGAATGCACTTGTGTATAGTTTGGATCCAGAGCTTGATTACATTCTGGTTATTTTGCCGTGTAAGCATTCTCTCATGGGAATATTAATACAGAGGGAAGATACTATGTTAAAATGAATTTTCTTCCTCATAAATAGATCAAATATTTAAAAAGTTATGTGGAAAAGATTTCCGATTTGAATCTAAAAGGAAAACTGATACTTTATTGATTATATGTAATATACCCAGCAGAAATTCTAGTATCTTTTACTAATGATGAAATTGAAAACTTATGAGCTGAAAGTGAACCTTGGGGAGGAGCTTGAAAAAATATCTTTGGGAAAAAGTGACAAAAAACACCCCCAAAGCAAGAGAATTCAATTCCTAAAGAGAACTAACAATATCTTTCCTTGCATTATATGGATGAATACCAATATCTGAAGCCCCTACATTCTATACAAAATGTTCAGGAAAGCCAGGTTATGAATCAAAAATTTAAGTACGGTTGTTCAAAGACATTATGATTATATCCAAAAGTCAGGATTATATGCTATTCTTATGGTCCTAATAAATTTTAAAGAAACAATTTATATAATTACTTACTTGCATTATGCAGAAAGTTGATTTGTATATTTAAACCACTGAGTTAGTACCTGATTATACAGAATTGAGCTTATTATTTATCCAGTTATAAGAACTAATCAGGAATAGAAAATATATATGCACAAAGAGGTGGTGATTGTCCACAGGATCCATTGTCATACCTCACTGCCTTGTGTTCTGGACCAAAGCAGCATCCTGTCCTATGAAGTCCCCCTCATCCTTCAGGGCACCCTGGCTTGTGACCCTGTTTCCAATCAGTCAGGAATAGAAATATATATATATATATATATATATATATATCACATACATTTTAGTGAATAGTATAAGCTTATGATTCCATGTACAGACTCAAATAATTAATTTTGGAGTTGTGTATTATGAGTATTATAAGTCTCTATAATTTCAGGAAAAGAATTTAAAAAGTAAGTTATTGTAAGGTGAAAATTTCATTATATTGCTGCTCAAGTTATCAATTATATTTATCTGATAACTGCATTCATATTTTAAAAAATGTATTGGAACCTTGTATGTATGCTTTCCCATTATAATGAATTCTCATAGCAAATTATGTAATACCATTCTTCTTCTCATTTTATAGATAGATGATGAAGAGGTGTTTGATTGCCAGGAAAGGAACCCAATGTGAGTGACAAGAGGAAGAGCCAGAACTCAAATTTGATTCCTACAACTTTTGAATTGATGTTCTTGGTGACTGTTGCAGTACATTTCTTCAGCCTTCCCTAGAGATATTCAAACTCTAATATGTAGGATATATGGGAAGGGTGAACTAAAAATGTGCTAAGATGTAAGAGTCCTTCCAAGACTAGAGCACCATCATTGAATTAATGACTAAAATAACAAATATATCATTGTGTATCACCCTATGATCTGGCTTATTTATAAATGTGCAATAAGTGCGATTATTTATGAAATGCTAGTAAACACAAAATTAAGTCCTATTTAATATAGTTTTGGACCAATGCCTGCTTAACACAATAATATGATAATATAGTTCAAAGATTTGAAGCGTATAATACTTTAAAATACGGGAGATAAAATAACTGAAAGAAGCAAATTCATGCAATTAACTTTGCCAGTTTGTCTGCTTTTCTGAGGCAGTAAATATAATTTCTCATGTTATATATAGAAGGAAACATGGAACTGTTACAAAATGATGACAACCATCTCTTTGGTGTATATGAAGAACTGAAACGGCAAGTGTTAAAAGAATGCTTAGTTGAAGACCAGGGTTTACTGATCTCATTTATGTTCTTTTTCTTGTGTATAGATAGAAGCACTTTCCTCTAACTTGATAAAGACAAACAACAGTGCTGGGTATTTGAAGTACTAAAAGCAGTCCTGTGTGCAAGGAACTTTGCAATCAGTACATGAAAACCTTTTATAGACTATTTTGGAATCATCACATGGACTTAAGTATTATAGGTTTTGTACAATAACCTATGCATGCTTTCACTATATCCTCAGTACCATCTCCACTGAAGTTTTTGCACAAATTTCTGTTATGATTTGACGCTTTCTATTGTCTATGTAATTTCATATAACATATGGAATTTAGATTTAGATCAAAGCATTTGTATTTTCACAAGGAGTTTTTGAAATGCTACTATTAATAATCTATTAATGTGACTTCTCCCGCTATTAAATTCTCTAGTTACTACTAACTGATGAATAACAGTCTGCTTCAGCCATGGCCAAGGCTCAGTTTATGATATGACCTTCCAAGATTCTTTCTTATTCAAGTTCACTAATAGCTTCATAGTCAAATCTTATTTATATTTTATGGCTGTACATTTCCTATAAATAAACTGCAAAAGTTTACCTTTACTTTAGTGGGCTCTGCACCCAAGTACTATTTATCCCATTATCGTTTGTGAGTTTAACTGCCTCTAGGAGTTTAATTTGAAATACTTCTACTCTACGAGTCATCCCAAATATTCAGGACAGTTAAGATTGCCTAGTATATTTATATACATTGCTCATATCCATAAATTTTCAGCTATCTTCAATGAGAAGGCAACTCTATAGACTTAAGTAGTCACAAGTATCTAGAAGACTCCCTGAAATGTTAAAATTTCTTTATATTTCATGAATTAACAGAATGTAAACACTAGTCATTAGAGTACAGAAATTAAATAACCATGAGTATGCATCATTTTACTTCAGGAAATATGATTAACTCTCTCATCAACTAGATGGAATACAGGAACAATGTGACAAAGTTTGTTCTTATGGGACTCACGCAGAACCCACACATGGAGAAAATCATACTTGCTGTGTTTTTGTTCATCTGCATAGTCTCTGAGTTTGGAAATTTGCTCATTCTGATCGCCATTACAAATAGCCACCTGTTGGGGTCTCCTATGTACTATTTTCTGGCATATCTCTCCTTCATTGATACCTGCTACTCCTCAGTCAGTACTCCTAAGCTGATTGTTGATTCACTCCATGAAAGGAAGTCCATTCAGTTCAATGGATGCATGACCCTAGTCTTTGGGGAGCATTTCTTTGGAGCTGTTGAGGTCATCTTGCTTACTGTCATGGCCTATGACTGCTATGTTGCCATCTGCAAACCCCTGCACTATGCAGCCATCATGAGCAGAAGACTCTGTAGTTTACTAGAAGGAGTGTCATGGGCTGGAGGCTTTTTTCATGGAGGTATACAAATTCTGTTCATTATTAGGCTACCTTTTTATGGCCCTAATGTCATAGATCACTTTATGTGTGATCTGAGCATTTTGCTTGATCTAGCCTGTGCTGATACCCACAACCTAGGTATCTTTGTTGCAGCCAACAGTGGCTTCATTTGTCTGTTAATCTTACTGCTTCTGCTCATCTCCTACACAGTCATCCTTTACTCACTAAGAACCCACAGTGCAGAAGGAAGGTGCAAATCCCTTTCTACATATGTATTTCCCATTGTTGTGGTCTTACTCTTTGCACCCTGCACATTTGAATACATGAGACCTGCAGGTCCATTCCCCATTGACAAGTCAGTTGCAATTTTATAGCAGTGATAACTCCCATAATAAATAACAAATACTGGCAATGATTGGTAGGAAGTAAGTCTCTTCCCTGCTGATTGTGGATGTATGTTGGTGAAGAATGCAAAACACCATATGGGTGTCACAAAGACTAACGCTTGATGCAGTAAGTACATCCTTGAATTTTTATGCCAAAGTCCTGGGAATCAGAATCATAATTTCATGAGTGTTCTTAATGTCATAAAATGTTACCAGCAATAAACAATGTGTGGGAGAAAATATTATGCCCCCTGCCAGATAACTGGATGAAGAAAATGTGATATATTTGTATAATGAAATATTATTAAGCCTTGGAGAAAACATCAATTTTAACATCATATATAAATCCTGTTAGTATTATCTTAGGAAAAGTAAGATGTGGAAAACCTATCATTGTCAAACTCAGGGCATTATTAACCTTTCTAACTTATGAGACAAAACTTATGTTTTGTAAGAAATGTTTCCATTGTTTCAGGTGTTGAGTATATAAAATAAGTATACAAATCAAATACCCAACAGTAAGATAAATTTATTCTTAAAAGGTATTAGTTCTTAAAACAATTCTTTGGCATACTTATGATTTCACCATTTATCAAATAGAAAAATAATTGAAAAGGTAAAATGTACTTGCCAATTTATCATATATTCAACTTTTGTTAAATATTTTGGGCAAGGCCTAACCTCCCCATCTATTTTCATAGCTGACAGAAACTGTGAATTTATAAACATCATTGTTGAAAAGATGACTTCTGACAAAAATGAAAGAAACTTTTTAAGGTCTATCTCAGAAATTGTTTAAAATTCTTTTGTAAAACCAAACCAATATCCATTTTTTTAATTTTGTAATTTGTATTTATGTGCAGAAAATATAGCATTGTTCACTTAATCTCCATCAGTGCTAAGTTCTTTGGCTAAATTCTTTTCCAGCTTGGAAGTTATGATCACAGATTAGGACCCAGCACGTTGCATTCCCAGTGGCAGCAGTTCTCATTGTATCTGTCATTTTAATAGGCCCTAAAAGCTTCACCACAATTGTCTTCAAAGTTAAACTGTGTGTAGGCAACAGTAATGAATGTCTTCCTGTGACTGTGCATGATGTGGACCTTATGGAGCAAGTCAGGCATTGGTGGCTAATGCCTGTAATCCCAGAACTCAGGAGGCAGAGGGAGAGAGATCTCTGTGAGTTCGAGGCCAGCCTGGACTACAGAGTGAGGTCCAGGACAGGCTCCAAAACCATACAGAGAAACCCTTACTCAAAAACCCCCAAAAAAGGAAAAAAGATTTTATTGACTTTGTGGTATTATTCCTCACTGCCCTGTGTTGAAAAATGGTGATCCCCTCATGCATCTTTTAAGAATCTTTTATGAAATTCAATGTGGTCCCACAACGAGAAAAATTTAAATTACCACACTAATTTAGGGAGAGATTGTAGTACATACCTGTGTTGCTGACCATGCCCATTTGGGAACAGCCACAGGTGTGTATGGGGTTTGTGGGATATAGGCCTTATGAGAGGCTGGCTCAGTCTCTCTTAGGATTCTGGTCCAGTCTCAGAGAGCAGAGTAGACTGAATTCTTAGAGGACTGATCCTGGTTTATCAGTTTCTCATGTAACTGATTTGAGGCCTAGGTAATCTATTGAGCCTTGGGCAGCAGATCAGTACCCATACCAAGTATACACACGGACTTTGGACTCCCATAGAACAATGTGAGGTGCACTCTCACCCTGAACTCTTGGGGAAGGGTCTAGGCCCTGCCCTATATGAAATGACAGATTATGGACACCCCCATGGAGGGCCTCACCCTACCTGGGGGAATGAGGGGATAACGGGGGGATGGGGGGAGGGCACGGGAGGAGGGGAGGGAAAAGGAGAGGGACCTGGAACTGACTTGTGAAGCAACCTTGTTTCTTATCTAAATTAAAAAAAAGAATAAAAAAAATCATAAAAAAATAACCTATGACAGGCCTATCCCAAGAAAGTTAATCTTCATCCCTCCATGTGGAATGGGCTCCCAGAGTCTATTTGTATGCCAGAAATGAATTTTGCTTAACTGTCCAAGGTCCCAGAGATTGCTGAGGCCTCACCTCTGACACCCAGGTTGGGCGGGGCAGTGTCTGCCATGCTGGCCTCTCAATCATCAGTCTGGGGTCCATGAAATCCCCCTTGTTCAGTTCAGCTGCCTCTATGGATTTTGCCAGTCTGATTTTGATTCCTTTGCTCATCACTCCCCTTTGCAACTGGGTTCTAGGAGTTCAATTAGGATTTTAGCTGTGGGTGTATGCCTCTGCTTCTGTAAGCCACTGGATGAGGGTTGTAGGATGGCATATAAGGTAGCCATCAATCTCATTATCATTGAAGGGCAATTAAGATAGCCTTAATGCAATTTGGTGCCATTCTTATAGATCTGTGGAGATATCACTATTTCCAGATCTCTCCTCCAGCTTATAATGGCTTCCTCTTTTATGTAATCTCTCAAATTTCTCTCCTCACTTGTTACCCTGACTCAATATTCCTGTCTCTCCCATGTGCTACTCTCCCCTCCTCTTCCCCTCTCTTACTCCCATCTCTCTCTCTCTCCTCACCTCCCCCTATGCACTCAATCCCCTCAGGAGTTCTGGTCCCATTCCCCTTTCCTGGGTTATGCATATCTCCCTTAGGGTCCTCCCTGCTTCCCAGACTCTCTGGCAATGGAATTGTAGACTGGCAACACCCTGCTTCAGGTCTAAAATCCATATATCAGTGAGAACATACCATGTTTGTGTTTTTGTGACTGGGTACCTCACTCAGGATGGTTTCTTCTAATGCCATCCATTTGCCTGCAAAATTCAAGATTCCATTGTTTTTTTTTTCTGTTGAGTAGTACTCCATTGTGTAGATATGCCACATTTTCTCTATCCACTCTTCAGTTGAGGGGCATTTAGATTTCTTCCAGGTTCTGGCTATTACAATTAATGCTGGTATGAACATAGTTTAGCAGATATCCTTATTGTATGAGTTTACATCTTTTGGGTATATGCCTAATAGTGGAATTGCTAGAACTTGTGGTAGGCTGATTTCCATTTTCCTGAGGAATCTCCATGCTGTTCTCCACAGTGGCTGCACAAGTTGGCATTCCCACCAGCAGTGGAGGACATTCTCCCTCCTTTACATCTTCAGCAGCATAAATTGTCCTTAATGATTTTGATTTTAGCCATTCTGATGGGAGTGAGATGGCATCTCAGAGTTGTTTTGATTTGCATTTCCCTGATGGCTAAAGATGTTGAACACCTTTTCAAGTGTCTCTCAGCCATGTTAAATTCCTCTATTTATAATTCTCTATTTATATCTGTACCCCACTGTTTAATTGGATCTTTTGGTGTTTTGGAGATTTGCTTCTTAAGTTCTTTGTAAATTTTGGAGATCAGCCTTCTGTAGGTTTGGTAAATATCTTTTCCCATTCTGTCTTGTTGACTGTGTACTTTGCCTTGCAGAAGCTTATCAGTTTCAGGAGGTCCCATTTATTAAATGTCAATCTCAGTGTCTGTGCTACTGGTGTTACCTTCAGGAAGCAGTATCCTGTACCAATTCGTTCATGGGTACATCCTAACTTCTCTTCCAAGAGGTTCATTGTAGCTATATTGATATTGAGATCTTTAATCCATTTGGACTTAAGTTTTGTGCATGGTGATAGATATGGATCTATCTGCTGTGCACCAAGTTTTCTTATAAGAGAGCAAAAACCAAAGCAAAGTAGTGGGATGCATTCTGCAGAGCTTCTGCCAAGGTGATGTGTGACACTGGGGGCAGGAATTCTAAGCAACACTGATGATCATAGGATTTTTTGCAGTTCTAATAATAGTGGGTTGCATACAAGGAAACTGTATGAAAAGAGTGTTATTGCCCCAAGAGACAGAACGCAAGTGGAAGAAAAGACAAAGATTTGGGAATGGAGTTTTTAAAAGCTATTGGCACAAACATCATCACAGCATATTTATACATTCTGGATGAAAGCTATCGAATTTTATGTTTATTCAGCTCCATTTTCATTTTTTAACTCAATAATTTCTTCTTACCATTCTAATCCTTCCATTTTGTAATAGAAATGTTCACTCTGTGTATTATAGATCAGACTGAGCCAGAGATGTTGGAGATGGAACAGAAATGGATATAAACTGAAAGTTCATAACCTGATACTTATTTCCAACAACGGGTTCCAGAAAACACAGTTCCTAATTGTCAGTGCAGTAATGTAGCCTGATCCAGTGAATTCAAAGCATGATTCCATAAGATACATTTCAAATCCAAATAGTGACTGGACTAGAGACAAGGCATAGCAGGTATAAACATCCATTGATCTTATAAAGAACCAATGTTTGATTCCCAACTGTCACATGGTGGTACATAGGCAACATTAACTCAAATTTGCATCATAATATCCTATAAACACGTTATTATTTGCCAAAGTTCAAAGTGTCAGATTACTAAATTTAAAAATATAATTATAGTAAAGTCAAAAAGGGAGTCTCCCAAAAGTCAGAGGGATTATTGCTGATAGGTGAGTTCTCTCTACTTGTGCTAACACTATTACCGGGTATGAGTAATGACATACACACATAAAATAAACACACTAGCGTCTCATCTCAAAACTGAATGTTAAATTATCTATCATACATACATGCACATATATTTGTATGTATATATACACACACACATGTATGTATACCCATATTTATATATATGTGTGTATTTACATGTGCCTATATATGTATATATATGCATATATGTGTATATATACAGGTATATATATAAATATATATAGACATGCAGAGATGTGGAAAATATAATCTCATATAGAGTCAGCCATAGCAACAATTGTAATAGAAATTAGTAAAGATGTTCCCTGTTTAGTTGTTAAGAATAAGGAGTAAGGGTGGGAAGAATTTCATCCAAGAGCTGCCAAGTGTTTCTAATACTGGCAGGCTCTGGAGGACAAGTGCAGCTTTGCCCCAGATCTCTAGATTGGGGTGGGAAAATTTCATCTAAGAGCCA